GTTGATAATCAGTTTTGGTTCCATACAATGGAAGTCAATGGAAAACGCAACCGTTTAGTTACCAACATTCTTCAAAGTATCTTCTTTTGTGGTCCACAGAGGAAAGGAATTCATACAGTACAAGTTTATAACGACATGACAAAACGGACCTTTTGGGTGGACTATCCCTTTAACAACTTGTCCTCTAACGCTCAATCCTGAACCTTTCACAGATCACAGCGGTGCGATACAAGAGACCCTGGAAAAGTGAAACGGGGAGAGAGAGAAGCGATACAGCTGAGACGAGTGAGGGAGAATCAACATTGGACGGAGGGGGGTGAAGAGGCTGACTACAGCTCAATCCACTAATCAAAATAAAAGTTTTTGTGTACATAATATATGTGTGTGTACTGTGAATATTTATTATGTAAATACACACACATGCATGTACTGTATATATTTTGGAAAAATATGTTGTTTATATATTAAATATATTTATATGTAATATAAATTATATGAATAAAATATATACATATATATACTGTATGTGTGTATATTTATATATACATAATAAATACACAAAGTACACACATATATATATTATGTAAACAATGTTTTATTTTAGATGCGATTAATCGCGATTAATCATTTGACAACACTATTTTACATGTATCTGAATCACAGTGTGCAGTAGAAAGTCTCCATTTCAGAAAAGATCATTTATTTTCAGAATTTAAATAAAAAATGAGTCAAGTTCAAACAGACCAATGGGATGCGACCGCTTTGCAGGTTGACAGAGCCTTGCGTCAATGAGAGAAGAACCTGAACAGAAGCTGAACAGACGATCACTGCAACATGAAACTAATGATAATGCAGTATAAAAACCACACAGTAAATAAAAGTCTGCATGACCCGGTGCAGTCTGGAGCCGTCGGTTGTTTGATGAAATCAGGGCAGTGCTAATGAAATTCATTTTTCCCGTACACACGGATTGCCGCCTCCGTGCTAAGTAAAATCATTACGCGGTCTCTCCGCACAGAGACAAACGTCTACATTAAATAATCACAAGGCTTCAATCAACAGGCAGGGAAAAATAAACCCACATTCCTCCAGGCTCACCGCCTCCTGGAGAACGGAGCTCTGATCGCATTCGCCTGCCTCACCAGTCAGATTAATTAAAACACTAGGCTTTTTCCACCCCTCCCATCTCAGTGTAATCAAGCTCTTTTGCAGCAAACCGCAACAGCTCGAAATCTTTATCGATTCCCTCACCTATGCTCAACGCCGCTTACATGCAAACGCAGGCAGCGAAGATTTGAAACGACACCCAACATAATCTAAACCTAAATTAAAGATCAAGTCACAAAACCTCAAGGTGCCCTAACCACCTGAAGCATGCCTTAGGAAGCCTTCAGGTGTGTAAAACGAATGTTAAAGGTGTGTGTGTGGGTTTTTTTTTTTTAATTTGTGGGAGGAAAGTCTCTCGTGATTGGTGCACGTTCCTCTTGGGCTGCCGGCGGAGCAAAGTGACGGTACAGAAAATGACACAGGCAGCGTACTCACACAGTGGTGGGGCGTTCACAGGAAGGACACAAGAGAAAAGAGGAGAGGAGAGGAAGAGAGGGGAGCAGATGTTGCAAGTTTGAGGAGGTAAACTGATTGAGATGAGGTGTCACCTCAGCCTACTGGTGACTGTGAGAGCGAGAGGGGGGA